GTTCTGTCTGTCCTTTCACGGGCTGCCATGTCAAATCCCGGTGTTAGTCCAGTTCGCTACTGTCAGTCCAAAGGGTCTGTCGGTCGTTTGAGAACGGTTCGTGCAGTGTGTCTGTTGCGTCAGGCTGCTTAACCACGACACTGTAGACACTGTAACTCGTGAGTCTGCACTGACTCTGCAGTGCCAGTGCCTACAGCCTGTGTTTTTTTTTCTGCAAATTGAAATATGATTTCCGCGTGCAGTTTTTTTTTCCTTTTGCTGTGAGGACTCGAGGTTTTTCGCCATGCTAATTAAGTGTGGTTGTTCATGGGAAGATCCGGAAGGATCTGATCGAAGATTATTTTATTTTTGATTGGTTTGCGGCATGCGGTAAAACAGGAACGTCTGTCAGATTGTGCTGCTAACCGTTGTTTGCCCGAAGGACTACAGACCTTGAGCACTAATCTGCCATTTGTCCTAACCCTTCTTTGTATTTGAGTAAACAGCAAAGTTAGATTCCGATTAGTTGGTTGTTCTTTGTGTGAACTCTAATCTGAATTAGTTTTATTTTAATTTCGTGAAAAGAGATATTTGGGAATGGGTGGCAGTGAAGTCCCAGGCGGTTCTGGGAAGCGCAAGGAGCCTGTAATCCCCAAAACCGCTCTGGAGCTTGAGATTGAGAAGGAGGAGGCAGTCGTAGAAGAGACCCAGAAGAGGATTGAACACCTGAAAAAGGAAACAGAAGTCGAGGATAAAAGGACTAAGGAGGCGGCCAGAAGGGGAGTTGGCTGAGCACTTCCTGAAAGCAAAAGCTGATGAGAGGTTCAATGAGACCAACTGGAAGCTGGCTGAGTGGATCCGGTTGGGGTTTTCCCTCAGGTCAGGGATGCTTGCACAACCTGTATGGATCGGATCTCTGTAGTGGAGGACCACCTGACCCATATTGAAGTCAGGCAGACCACACCCTCACATTCCCTTGACCTCCTCTAGCAACGAGTTCCTATTCCGCCACCTGTCTCCACACCTCTTTCCACACCTCATTCCCATGCATTCTCCTCCTCTGCTGCAACGACCTCAGTCAGATCGTCTCTTGATCATTCTCTCCTTTTCTGCTTGTATCTCATCTAAAGCCGGCTATAGATGTGCTTCGCGAGCGCTTGCTCGCTGAATGGCGACCTCCTTGGGAGTTAACACTAACGGTTGGCTTGCAATAACGCCAGTGGACTGATTTAAGGTCTGTGCGACCGTCACCCCTACCTTCCCCGAACTACTGCCCTGGAAACTTTGTTGCGCAGCAGTGGCCATTGCTGCTGAAGTAGCTGCCTCGCTTGCGAGGGCTTTGCTTGCCTTTGCGCCCCTAGCCCTCCGCTGCTGCTGCTGTCTCTCCCTAAGCTGGCGGAACAGAAAACGGTCCCCGTCTGGTCCTAAGGCTACGTGGACCAACGGGCGTCTTGCCGATCGCAGGGACCTATCGTCCGGGTCAGGAACCTCCTTGTCGCGCAGAAGCTACTGCATTGTACACTGTCTGCAGTAGGTTTCACTTGGTTGCCTACCACAACGTAGTGCTCAGACCTACTTAAAATAAATAAAATTATTAATCGGTGGCTATGTCCGAGTATACACAGTTGGGTCCAACAGGTAAGTTCATATTCCTATAAATGAAACCAATTCACCTGACTAGTTCGCAAACAGAGCGAATGAGCAGAAATAGTAATTTCTACCTATGCTGTCTGCCAGATGTCAATGGTTGTACATCTAACTAATCAAAATAAAATTAGAATCATCTCTAATACTATAAAGGAAGACGCGGGTCTTGCGTGACGGTCCCACGAGAGACAGCGCTCCCGGGTGCGGGACGACCGTCGGCGGGTCCAGGGCCGGTGTTCAATACTACAAAGGAAGACGCGGGTCTCGCGTGACGGTCCCACTCGAGACAACGCTCCCGGGTGCGGAACGACCGTTGGTGGGTCCAGGGCCGGTGTTCACTTCGACGCCCCTTGGGGGAAGCGCGGGGAGCGGTTTCGGGCGGGTGCGGGCCTAAGGGCGGCGGTTTGTCGGGCGTTTCGTGGTAGCCCACGCGAGACAGCGCTCCCGGGTGCGGGACGACCGCTAGGATTTCAACGGCCCTTGGGAGAAGCGTGGGGAGCGGTTTCGGGCGGGTGCGAGCCCAGGGGCGGCGGTTTGTCGGGCGTTTCGTGGCAGTGTGATAGAAGTACTCAGACCTGTTTCGTGGCAATGTGACGGCGTTGTTATGGGCGGCAGTCCGTCGGTGTCTCGCGGTCCCAGGTGTGGAACGATCGTCGGCGGGCCCAGGGCTGGTGTTCACTTCGGCGGCCCTTGGGGGAAGTGCGGGCCCAGGGGCGGCGGTTTGTCGGGCCGCCGGTGGAAGTACTCAGACGTGTTTGGTGGCCGTGTGCGGCCTGTGTATAAGAGACAGCTCTCTCTCTCTCTCTCTCTCTCTCTCTCTCTCTCTCTCTCTCTCTCTCTCTCTCTCTCTCTATGCGCCCAACGGGCAGCAGCGGCGGGCGCCACGTCGAAACGGCCGCTTTGAACTTGCTCGGGCCTGTGCAAAACCCGCCACCTCAAAAACCTGCAGTGTCTTGTGTCTGGACCTCTAGGCCATGTCCGGTGGGCGGCTAGGACCTGACAAACGTCCTGGGGTGCCCCTTTTTTTTTTTTGATTTCTGCCCCAGGGACCTCCATCCGGACATGGGGACCGGACACTGGACACCGGACTGTCTGGAACCCGGTCCGGACGTCCGGGCCGTTACCATGGTGTTTCACCAGTGAAATGTGGAAGAAGGCCGCTGAACAGATGGGAAGCCAGCTCCAAATGACTTCTGGGAATCATCCCAAGGCCAATTGGCAGGCTGAACAAATGAACCAGGTGGCGCAGCATCTGCTGAGGCATTATGTTAAGCCCAGCCAAGATGAATGGGATGAGAAGTTACCTCTCATCGCCAGTCTGTACAATAACGCTGTACACAGCACCACCGGGGTCACCCCGAATCAACTGCATTTGGGGTGGAAGCCTTGATCTGCACTAGACTTTCTCCTTCCTGAAAACTGACCTGCTGCAACTCCTGGAACCATTGAGTTTGGTGTCCTGTATGAGAAGTTGCTGCAGCATGCTGTCGAGCACATCAAGAAGTCTCAGGAAGCAATGATTGCTTCTGAGAACAAGCATCGCCGGCAGTCCACATTTCAGGTAGGGGGCTAGTGAACTGGGACAGGAGTTCGGCATCTCTAGGAAACTAATGCGTCAGTACTTCGGTCCCTGGGAAGTCCTGGATGTTGTGGGTAGTGAGATGGATGGTCCCTCGTACATCATTCATATCCTTGGTCACTTAAGCACTTACCCTGTTTCCCATGCCTCAAAGCTCGCTCCTTTCGCTGAGACAGAACAGTTCCCATCACGGAGATCTATGCTGCCCCCAACCATGGATGGCCACGCGGACATCGACGATATCCTGGAGCACGGAGACATGCCTGTTCCCAAGCCAGCTGGCAGGGGTAGACCGCCTAAACCTGCACAGACTACGGTCCAGGCATCATACGGATCCCAAGGAAGATTGATGGTTTACGAAGGAGGAACTATTCAAGACAGCTCCTCAGATTGTGGCTGAGTATGAGAAGAAACTGAAGGGGAGGCACCAGCATGGAGCATCTCAGCGGACTTTTGAAGCTGAGGGGGATGGAATGCGAGGAACGAGCCCTCGCGGGGCCCTATCAGACATCACATGTTTGGGCAAAGGCCCCCAGCAAGCCGAGTGCCTGCCCTAAGTGAAGGCGGGCCTGAATATTCGTCTGAGGCCAAAATTCGACATTTTCATATGTGGGTATTCAGGCTCTTGCAGCACACCAGTTGGTTGAGTGCACGCGTGAGCCTCACTAAGCTGCGTTGTACAGTTGGCCCAGGGCTTGGCAGTTGTGCCTGGGCACATTCACACAAAGCAGGACTGATACATCGTGAAGCGGCCACCAGTCTATGCAAAAGCAGTACTGTCGGCGCATCTACTCCGGGGCCCTGCACAAATGCAGCAAACGGCCCGAGTCCGGAGACTCAGGCCGTGCCCAACTGTAAAGGGCCCAGGCCCTCAACTGTAGTCTCGGGCCCGGGCCCAGGGGCTGAGGCCCAACCGGAAGCTACTGGAAGCTTCCAGCCATGCCACACGCAGCATCCATGAGGCTGCCACTTCCATATAGGAAGTGAGGTAGCCCAGGCGGGGCATTCTGCCCCACGTAAGCAATGTGGACATGCTGCTGCATTGGATGCTGCGCTGCGGCCAAGGGCACTGACAGGGTTTTGAGGTGAAGTGGGGCGCTGCAGGGCAGCGGTGCGCTGGCAGCCATAGCCTGGGTGCTGGGCGGTAGGGGGTAAGAGGGGGCGATCTGGTGGTCTTCAGGGAAGGAGGCGAGTGTGGGTTATCAAGGTCTGATGAGCGTGACGAGATACGTGCCTGGTGCACGAAGAGAGGTCGGCCATGGTGTTGACATCATGTACATTGGTCTTCGAGAGTCGAAGTGAGCCTGTTGCGTGAACACAGCTGTAGGGAGGATAGTCGAGTAGAGTAGGCAGGGCGCTCGGCACCAGACAGAGAGGAGCGACTTTGGATACTGTGCTGGTGTGGCCTGAGGGCTTGAACATTGGCTGATTACTTAATTGTATTGCTCTATTTGGATGGATTCTCGGTGCAATTATGCTCTCTGCTTGTACACGACTACTTGGACATCTTTGTGATTTTGCAATTTGGTTTTCTGTATATCCTTCACACTCATATTCCTTGCATCTGTTTGACAAATCTTGTGTATTTTTATCGTTTGTTTCGCAATGTGCACTCTTTTAGTTGATAATATATGATGACAATATATTTCATATATGCAATTCTCTATGAGTCCATCACTATATAAGGTTATGGTTTGTGACACTGATTAGACAGATAAAGGAGGCTGCAGGAGTTTGTGTGTTGTGATAAACCTGGATTTTTCTTTGGGTGGTTTGTTTGCTTGTGCGCTCGCAGGTGTTCCCAGGTCTGGATAAGATTGTGTTTCTTGATGATGACGTCGCTGTGCAGTCTGACCTTTCGGGACTCTGGGACATTCCGATGGAAGGGAAAGTCAATGGGGCAGTGGAGACCTGCAGGACGGGGGATGTCATGCTTACATCAAAGCGCTTCAAGTCGTACCTCAATTTCTCCCATCCTGTCATTGCTCAGAACTTCAACCCCGAAGAATGTGCATGGGCGTATGGGATGAACATATTCGACCTCAAGTCGTGGAGGCGGTCAAACATCACGAAGGTGTATCTTGAATGGCAAAAGAGGGTAAGTCTTCCTTTTTCATGTCCTGTCCGCTCTTCCTTCAACCTTCTCCCCCTCCTCTTCCCCTCCCCCGGAGAGGAGGTTAACAGACCCCAACAGACACCAAACTTGGCACACACACAGTTCTTGACCAAAAATAAAACAGAGCGAAAAAGAAAAAACCGAAAAACTATTCCCAAATGCGTTTCTTACTAGTTTTTATTGCTTGGGGGGTTAAACCACCAGTACTTGGCCCAGCTATTGAAGCCGAGCCTGAATATGCCCTGCGTGCCGATTTTTGCCGAGCCTGCCGGGGGCGGGAACCAACATGGGACATTTGATGCTTGGCACAGGTACCGCCCTTATTCTGGACCTGCTGCCAGCAGCTGGAATATAAAGCGGCTATAGTTTTCTTGTTTCCACTCGTGTACATGAAAATGGCCTGGGCAGAAGTGCATCCAGATGCATCTGGAAAGATCTCATTGAATGCTCTCATCAGATACTACAGCCGAGAATCTTGAAAAGGAAAAAAAAAAACAAAAAAAAAACAAAGGGGAAAAAAGGTACCAAGCTCTGAACGTGATTGCCCTCAGATACATCCGCTGCTGCAGCGAAGTGCAGCCAGATACATTCTGGAAAGTGCTACCTCACAGTGAAGCCCTGTCAGATACATCCGCTGCTGCAGCGAAGTGCAGCCAGATACATTCTGGAAAGTGCTACCTCACAGTGAAGCCCTGGAATTGAAGTGGTTGGCACGCATTGAATGCTCCCCGTCTCTCACGGGAAGCAGAAGCACAAACCGCCGCGATACTGCTTCCAAAAAAAAAAAAAAAAAAAAAAAAAAAAAAAAAA